ATACCTCATTTAATTCTCAAAACCATTGTTTTAATGTAAGTATTTTCAATCTGTTTTACAATTAAGGCATCTAGTTACAGAAAGGTGAACTAACTCTCTCAAGGACACACAACTAGTAAGCTTCAGAATAAACAGGGATTGAAACCTAGTTTGATTGGGCACTCCGCCTCCTCATGGGCACATTTTTACTGGAACCTCAGCCCTCTGAAAGCTTCCACTGTATTCCTATAGCAGTTCTGAAAGCTGCCATTGTACTCCTATAGCAGATCTAAGAGCATCTACTGTGTTCCTATAGCACCTTGCCTGGATCCTTCTGGTGAATTTCTCCACATCCTGATTTTATTTTTTTCTTTTCAACAAACTTTCCCCTGTAAATCCCTCCTTCAGTGTAACCTTGTTAGCTTTGAGGACACACCCCTAGGCCTGGGCTTACAGCACTGCTTCTCTCCACCCCTTTCTTTTGCTTCAGTTTAAAGTGTCACGAGATTCCTCTGGTTCTCTCCCTTTGCTTTTAGCCCTCACCAGGGCAGGAGGGACCAAGGCTGGGCCCAGAACTCATAGTCCTAGGGTGACAGTGAAGGGGTAGGGAGGGGACAGTGACTCCCTTCCAACCCCTTCTTCATAGGGACTGTTGGCAAACAAAGAAAATCAACTGGGAAAATGAAGACTTGCTGGTAAGACAATAACCCTGGAAAGAGTGGTGGGGAGACGGGGCTGGGGGTCCTCAGAACCAAGGGTCTGTATTTTTGCAGCAGTGGTAGGATGAGAGTAGGTGAGCCGCAAGGTGAGAGACAGAAAGAGAGACTGATGAGAGAGTAAGACAAGAGAGCAAGCGTGAGAAACCAAAGAGAGACACAAAAAAAGAGAGACAGAGGAAGGGAGAGAAAGTGATAGTCACAGAAAAGGAGAGAAAGGAAATCAAAGATGAAAGAAACCAGAGACAAAGAAATAGGTACCAAAACAGTGAGATAGGTAAATATCGAGAAAGTGAGATCAACAAAACAACAGGGACAGTGGGGGCTGGAAACATGAGTTCCTTACATCTCTCAGTAGGGTTTCAAAGTAAAAATGAAGGCCAGGCGCGGTGGCTTACGCCTGTAATCCCAGCACTTTGGGAGGCCGAGGTGGGCGAATCACGAGGTCAGGAGTTCAAGACCAGACTGACCACCATGGTGAAACCCTGTCTCTATTAAAAATAGAAAAAGTAGCTGGGCGTGGTGGCACATGCCTGTAATCCCAGTTACTCAGGAGGTTGAAGCAGGAGAATCGCTTGAACCCGGGAGTTGGAGGTTGCAGTGAGCCAAGATTGCGCCTTGGCACTCCAGTGTGGGCGACAGAGTGAGACTCCGTCTCAAAAAAAAAAAAAAAAAGAAAAGAAAAAGAAAAGAAAAAAATAAACTATACTGGGATTTGATCACCTTATATTAATTAGGTTTACCAGGTTTGAA